ATTAACTTGCAACCCTCACCGAGACTGACAATGTTCACTAGGGTAACCTTGGGGTTTAATAGGCTTGTTGTATGCCGCTAAATACTACCGCGATTCCTGCGAACGTGAGTTAGGATTTTGCTTTTTTCTTTGCTAGAGGCTAGCAAATGTTTAGGTGTCGGGGGTATTTGATATCACATTTTACTATACATTTATACCCTCATTATCCTATTTTATATGAATAAATATACCACAATAAATGTTTTTATCTTTTAAATGCAGTGTTAATGAAGAATAAATTCTCAATTCCCTTGCTCAACAAAAAACCCATTGATTACAATGAAAGAAATGAATCAAGAAGCATTGCGAAAATCAATTTCCAATTTATAAACAAAAGCCCAAGTAAGATAAAAGGGAATTAAAGAATATCAAAGCCCAAAAGCCCAAGTAAAAGCCCAAGATCCAAGCCATAGAAACCAATGAAAGAGGAGAGTTTGCGGACTAAGAGCTAGAAGCAGGCACAGCATCTGATGCCAGCATCGATGGGGCAGCATCGCAGATGAGCGTCGAGCGCATCGATGCCGTATCGTGCCAAGCATCGATACCTTACCTATCGATGCTGGTATCGATACGCTGGGCAGCTTTGTTACCGGAAATCAAAGGCTAAAATTGATGTTGTTGGATAAGAGTTTTGACTCCAATGGCTCTCATTCACTGTGTTACCTTAAAATAGGGGTAGAGATGAGGGGTTAGAGGTGTGAAAAATTTTGTAAACTCCTTTTGAAGGAGAGGCTTCTCTAAATTGGAAGGCCTCCAAAATTTGTAACTTTAGTTGGAATTAATAATAATATTTTTTCACCACTTTAAAATTTTTCTCTTTGTCTTCTTTGTGGGTATGTCATGAAGATGAAGATGAGATGGAATTATTATGAAGTTTGGATTCTTTTCTTTTTCTCTTTTTATTGCGCTTATTATGTATTTATTCTTATGCTTGTAGTTTTAGATTTTATATTTTCTTGTTAAGTAATCAGCCAGAGCTAGACCCTCTGCCTTAGATTTCATTTCATGCTATTTAGAATAATTTATTTTCCTTGGCATTTAATTCTTGCTAATTTTATTTTATAGTTTGGTAGATTATCAAATGTATTTGTAGTTAGTTTTTTAATTTCTCTGGTATACTATTCACCTTGAGGCTATGAACCTCTTGGGATTTTAGTTTTCTTTTGTTTTTTTTATTTTGTTTGGATTCGCCTTTAGGCTAGAACCCTCTGGTCGAATCACCTTTTAAAGAAGTGGGGTTTCATTTTAGATTATCCATTATCATTAATTTGAATCCCACATCTTTAATTTCTTGCCATTTTTTTATTCTGATTTTGTTCTTTATTCTTGTTTTTCATTTGTTTCTTGATTTTATTCATTCTTTTTTCTCTTGCCTTATTGATTCACACTCATTCTTTGTCACCATCCATCTCACTTAAATTTTCTTCGCTCGCGCCGTTTCACACACTATCACTTTCACTTCATTTATCTCTCCACATCAATTACTCATCACTTCACTTTTTGTCACGCACACAAAATAAGCAACAATTTTCAATTTTTCTCTACAAAAACACTTCTTTCGTGGGATCGATATCTTAAATACTATAACTTGACACGGTTGTGCACTTGCAACCTTTTTGGTACATGTTTATGCCGCATCATTGACCATAGGTGGAATTCCACCTATGTAATGTTAAGTGTAGCAATAGAATATAAAGATATTATAACTGATTTTATAAATTATTATGCTTCTAGTTCTAGTTCTGGTAGCACTTATGGAATAACTAAAGATGAATGAACAATTATATGTAATTTAAATAAAATGTTATAAGTTTTTTTATGATGCTACAATGTTATTATCTGGTTGTTATTATCCAATAATTACTTTTGCTGCTTTACAAATTTTAAACATTCAAAATTTTTTTGGGAAATATCGTATGGATGATACTTTTGGACCTATGATTTTTCAAATGGAGAGCAAATTTAATAAGTACTTTGGCATATTCCTCATATTTTTGGTTTGAGGGTTCTTATTGATCCATGCTTGAAGGATATTGACCTTCGAAGTTTGTTACAATCCTTGTATGGTAATCAGATTATAGACTTAGATGATGGAACCACCCTTACTGCTACTACTCATCATTTAGCTATTAGAAATTATTTTCAAACCTTATATGATGAGTATACATCTAGATATGGTGTAGCTACACAACAGTCTACAGCTTTGGTTTTTTCGAGCTCATCCCGAGGTAAAAATGTAAGTTTTGATAGGTATGCAATGGTAGCTGAGCTAACTGGTGGATCTAGACTTGGATCGTCATCATTGGAGGTTTCTGAAATAGATAAAAATTTATCTGCTTCTTTAGTTAAATGTTAAAGAAATGCTTTAGATATTTTACAATGGTGGAAAGTATATGGATCAGTTTCATATCCTATACTTTCCACCATGGTTCGTGACTTACTAACAGTGCAGGTTTCGACGGTAGCTTCGGAATCCGCCTTCAGCACAACAGGACGTTTGATCGACGATCACAGGACATGCTTAGATCCGTATACTGTACAAACAGTGATGTGCTTACAAGATTGGTGGAGGTACGAGAAGCGAACTTAATGCATCGATTGGATGGCTGGAATTGAAGATAAATTTAAAGAGTTGGAACTAGCAGATAGATATAAAGAATAAATAATATTCATCAAATTGTAATTTTTATATCTTAGCTTAAAATTTGTAAAGAATTATTTTAAAAATAGTTACAAATGATAGTGATATATGTGAGTAGGTGCCAACCTAGTTGAGATGTACTTATCTATTGTGATGCGATGAATTCCAAAATAAATTTATACTTGTAATTTGTAAATGATTTATTAATTATTAATAAATAATTTATTTTTATAATTTTTTATTTGTAATTTATGTTATTTTAAGTGATTAATAAAATTATTGTTTATATTAATTTTTTATTTTTTGTATAATTTAAATTTTAAATAGAATTAAAAAAAGGAAAATAAACCGGCCCGGCCCGGCCCGGAACCCGGCCCGGTCGGGCCCGGGTCCGGGTCGGGCCCGGAACCCGGCCCGGTCGGGCCCGGGTCCGGGTCCGGGTCCGGGCTCCGGTTTTGCCCGGCCTGGGCCCGGATTTCCGGGCCGGGTCGGTCCGACTCGAATGGACAGGTCTACTGATTTTTGCTATAAGTAGGAGTCTTCTTTTAGGGTTTTTTAGAAGAGAAAATAGAGAGTTTTGACAACTACAAAAAAAAAGAGTTTTTTAAATCTAAAAAGGTGAGATCTTGAGGAGAGAAAAAGAGAGAGTTTGGAGAGATTTTACAAGAGAGGTCAATTTCCTTTGGGTAAAAATCAAAACTTCATCTTTGGGACGAGCTTGTGGGTTGTACAAGTCGTTAGTGTTCTCCTTCATAGTGGAATCTCCCTTCGCCACTCTCCGTGGATATAGGCAAGTTTGCCGAACCACGTAAATCTCGTACCTTTACTGTTTTCTAGGTGTTGGCTATTGCTTGTTGGTTTCCTCGATATTTAGACCTAGATCTAATATTGAGAAAAATGTATATCTCACATCGTTGAGATATATTACTTCTGTTCTTGTTTTCTTTGTGAAACGAGAATATAGAGGTTGACTTGAGTTTTTGTGAAAACAAAAGCCATGATTTTCTCTCGGGTTATATCGCTTTCGCGGCATGAGGGCGTGACTCTACGCGCAACAATTATTATGACTTAGGTACAAAGGTAGGCGGACGTCCATTTGCATAGGTATCCAGGTTTGTTGGGGGCATGCCCTTGCCATTACCACAAGTAATTTTAGGTTTTTAAGTTACTCTTTTAGTTTGGGTCCTTGAGTACAGTGTTATTGTATCCTTTTCAAAGTTGCGTGTATAGGAATTATCTTTGCAGGCTCAACAACTTAATAGGAGCATATTTCAGACTGTATCATCGTGTTTTGAAAGCTCAATTCTGCAAAAGAAGGTACTGATCCATATCAAGGGAGTGGTGTCAGCAAGATGTCCTACTAATATTCTGAGATATTAAATATTTGCATTAGCGTTGATTAAGATCTCAATCACACAATAGCATTTTCTAGCATGCATGCCTGTTGATTTTTTGATTAATCTTTTTTTAGTTTGCTGCATTTCTGTATATATGTATAGCAAGCAGTGAAGAACTCAACATTCTGGCTGCATTTATTAACATATAACTAGTATACATCAAATATACAACTTATGTATTATATTTCAGACTGTATCATGGTGTCAGTAAGATGTCCTACTAATACTCCGAAAGCTTTATCTAATCAGTTGCAGTTTCTTTATGTATTATCTTTTTGATATCTTCTTTATGTGTAGGATACCTACATCATGAAATGCAATCCGAAGAATTTTAGTACTATAAGATCGCTTCATGCTTATGCAAAGATATAATACAATTATACAACTTACCACTTCTGCTATATAACTCTTGCGTGCAACTCGGCTTATAGAAGCCTGACAGAATTTGTTAAGGAAAAGGTATGGGATTGAATACTCTTTAGGGTTAAATGAAAAATGTCTCAAGCTCCTATATCACTGTAACTAAGCAGCAAAGCTATGATCTGAATGATAAGTATTGAAATTAAACTTGATTTTGGATCAAGCTTAATTTTGGGTTTATGATGGAATTATTCTAAGTTTGACCAAACCCAAAATTAGGTCCAAATTCTAGAGGTTTTCTAGAAACACTCTAGAAGGTTGATCACCTCCTTAAAGTGTTCTAGAGAAATCTTTAAGCTAAATATCTAGATAATAGTATAGAAACATCTAGATAATTTGTGATAAAAATATTTAGATATTATGTAGAAATTTCTAGAGATTAGAAAAATATCTAGGAACTATGGCAAGATGTACATCCGCAAGTGCTATTTGGCAGGCACTAGATCAATTGTTCAACAAGAAGAACGAGGCTCGTATACAACTGTTAGAGAACGAGTTGGCAAATGCAAAGCAGGGGGGAGTCTTCAATCTCAGAGTTTTTCATCAAGGTAAAAAATCTTTGCTCTGAGATTAATACTCTCAATCCGGAGGAGTCGATTTCGGAAGCACGGTTGAAGCGGTCTATTATTCGTGGTCTACGACCCGAATATACACCGTTTGTTACTTCAGTTCAAGGATGGGCTACACAACCTTCCTTGGAGGAGTTTGAAAATCTACTAGCTTCGCAAGAATCACTAGCCATGCAAATGGCGGGAGTTAAAGTCCATGATGACTCGGTGAGCGCTTTTGTAGCGGGGAGACAACAAAGCTTCAGAGCCAAACCCAAATATGGTAATGTAAAGAATAATGATGGACGAGAAGGATCTTCTACGGGAGACAAGAAGCGATTCAAGTGTTATCGGTGTGGAAAACTTGGGCATTTCAAAAAGAATTGTCGAGTCAAGCTGAAGGAAACAAATATGGCGGAATCAAAGGTTCATACTGAAGACGAAGAATGGGGAAAATGTTTCATTGTGGAGGCTGCATCTTCAGGTACATCCACAGCAAAAAATCTTGGAAATGATTGGATTGTGGATTCTGGTTGTAGCCATCATATTACCGGAGACGAGAAGTTATTTTCTAGTCTTCAGCGTCATGACGGGAAAGAAACCATCATTACTGCGAATAATTCAATCCACCGCGTTTAGAAGGAAGGGACAGTCGTCATTGAAGGAGATGATGGAAGCCCAATCACTCTCAAGAACGTATATCATGTTCCTGGAGTAAGGAAGAATCTTCTCTCTGTGGTGAATGCGGTTGACTCAGGTAACTACGTTTTATTTGGCCCAAGAGACGTTAAATTCTTAAAGAATATTAAAGAATTAAAGGCGGACATGGTTCACACCGGAGCACGGGTTAAGGATTTATATGTTTTATCGGCCTCAAATTCTTATGTTGAGAAGATTTATATGTTTTATCGGCCTCAAATTCTTATGTTGAGAAGATGAGTACGAATGATAATGCCTTTATATGGCATGCTAGGCTTGGTCATATAAATATGACTAAGCTAAAGGTTATGGTGAATAATGATTTGGTTAACGGGCTCCCGAAGTTGAAGATTCAAGATGAAGGAAAGCTTTGTGAAGGCTGTCAATATGGAAAGTCACATAGGCTTCCGTTTGACAACTCCACTTCACGATGCAGCGCTCCGTTGGAGAGGGTCCATAGTGATTTGATGGGTCCGACGAGAACATCCTCCTATTCTGGTTTTCGGTACATGCTATTGTTTGTTGATGACTTCTCACGGTACACTTGGATATACTTTGTGAAGGAAAAATCAGAAGTATTCTCCAAGTTTCAAGAATTCAAGGTTACCGTGGAGGGAGAATAAGGTCAGAAGATCAAGACTTTAAGGACGGATAATGGAGGGGAGTTCATGTCAAGGGAGTTTCTCTCTTTTTGCTAAAAACATGGTATCAAGAGAGAATTTACATGTCCGTATACACCTCAGCAAAATGGAGTAGCGGAAAGAAAGATAAGACATTATCAAGAGAGAATTTACATGTCCGTATACACCTCAGCAAAATGGAGTAGCGGAAAGAAAGATAAGACATCTAAGCGAGACATGTAGAAGCTGGTTACATGACAAAAATTTGCCTAAGGCCTTATGGGCGGAAGGCATGAGATGTGCAATGTATGTCATCAACCGGATGCCACTTAGTCCAAACAATATGAAGTCTCCTTATGAGATGGTTCATGGGAAGAAGCCAACGGTGAAACATCTCAGGATATTTGGATCAATCTGCTACGTCCACGTGTTTGACTCTCAAAGAACCAAGTTGGAGGCAAAGGCGAAGAAATGCATCTTTGTCGGCTATGATGAACAAAGGAAGGGCTGGAGGTGTATGGATCCAGAGACACACAAGTATATCGTATCTCGTGATGTTGTCTTTGATGAAGTTTCCTCATTTTATGGGCCACCTCAAGTCTTGGTCGAACAAGAAGGTGGGGGTTCCTCCAAGATCGATGAATCAGTTGTTCAAATGCCAAGTGAAAGCGGAAGTCTTGAAGAAGAGACGCAAGGTGAAAGGGGGAGCACTGATCAAGAGGAAGATGAGGAAGAAGATCGTAGTTCCATGGCTAATCAACGGCCAAAAAGGAACATTGTTAAGCCTGCTCGGTTCAGAGATGAAAGGTTTGTCACTACTTACTCATGCTACTTTGCAGCTCCATTAGATGAAGAGGAGCCATCATCGTATGATGAAGCAAAAGGAGTTCAAGAGTGGGAGGGCGCAATGAAGGAGGAGATGAATGGTCTCATGAAGAACGAAACTTGGGATTTGGTTCCAAAACCCAAGGATGTCCAACCCGTTTCTTGTAAATGGGTGTACCGAATTAAGCGAAAAACAGATGGGAGCATTGACAGATTTAAGGCAAGGTTGGTTGCTCGAGGGTTCTCTCAAAAATATGGAGAAGATTATGATAAAACTTTTAGTCCAGTGGCAAAGATGACTACGGTACGCTCACTTTTATCTTTAGCCGCAAGCTTTGGTTGGAAGTTATGGCAACTAGATGTGAAGAATTCTTTTCTATACGAAGAGCTTGATAAGGAAATCTTCATGGAGCAACCGCTTGGTTTCAAGTCACGAGAGCATCCTGATTATGTCTGCAAGCTTAAAAAGGCTTTGTACGGGTTAAAACAAGCTCCTCGAGCTTGGTATGGAAAGCTTGCTCAATTCCTTCAGTTTTGCGGGTATGTGCCATCAAATTCTGATCCGAGTCTATTCTTCAAGAAGAATGGAGGAGTCCACGTGGTGGTTCTTCTTTATGTGGATGATATGATCATCACCGGGAATGATGATGCTGAAATTGCTCGTCTACAAGAGGATATGTCGGTGAGGTTTGAGATGAAGAAGTTGGGTGAGTTGAACAATTTTCTTGGTTTGGAGGTCGAAAGGGTAAAAGATGGAATATTTGTCGGCCAACAAAGCTACGCAAGAAGGATTGTTGAAAGGTTCAGAGTACACGAAGGGAAGACATGTACTACTCCGATGGACGTGAACATAAAGCTTAAACGCGATGAAAGGTCCTTGCTACCTGATCCTCGACCTTATCGCTCTCTTGTAGGAAGTCTTCTATACTTAACCATTACAAGACCTGACCTTGCCTTCGCGGTGGGTCTCGTAAGTCGGTTTATGCAAGAACCAAGGAAGCCACATCTAGAAGCGGCAAAGAAGATTTTGAAGTATGTAAAGACAACTCTTGGCATGGGTCTGATGTACAAGTACAATGCCAAGGTTTCTCTTCATGGTTTCACGGATGCTGACTTTGGTGGAGATCTAGATGATCGAAAATCAACTTCAGGGTATGTGTTCTTATGTGGAGACACAAGTGTTTCGTGGTGCAGCAAGAAGCAAGCAACGGTGTCATTGTCTACCACTGAAGCGGAGTATAAAGCTTCAACACTCGTAGCTTAAGAGTGTATATGGCTTCGAAGACTCCTTGAAGATTTGTTGGAGCCAATAAATAAGCCGGTTGCAATTTATGGAGATAATCAAAGTGCTATCAAGTTGGCTAATAATCCGGTGTTTCATGCAAGGACGAAGCATATCGAGTTAGAACATCATTTCATACGGGAGAAGGTGCTTGATGGAACAATTGAAGCTTTGGAGGTTCGAAGCGAAGACAACGTTGCAGATATCTTCACCAAGTCACTACCAAAGGGCCAATTTGAGTTACTTCGCTCGAAACTCGGGATGGTTGACAAAATCAAGTTTAAGGGGGAGTATTGAAATTAAACTTGATTTTGGATCAAGCTTAATTTTGGATTTATGATGGAATTATTCTAAGTTTGACCAAACCCAAAATTAGGTCCAAATTCTAGAGGTTTTCTAGAAACACTCTAGAAGGTTGATCACCTCCTTAAAGTGTTCTAGAGAAATCTTTAAGCTAAATATCTAGATAATAGTATAGAAACATCTAGATAATTTGTGATAAAAATATTTAGATATTATGTAAAAATTTCTAGAGATTAGAAAAATATCTAGGAACTATAGAGGTGATATTAGAAGAATCTAGATCCTTTGTAACATATCTTTGGGAGGCTATAAATACCTCCTCACCTCTCTCATTTGTAAGTAAGAAGAAAAAGTTGAACAAGTGAATAAAGCAAGCTCAAATAAAGAGTCTTCCTCTTCATAAGTTCTCTACATTTCTCTAAAAATCTTTCAAGTGTTCTCTAAGTGTTCTTCATATTCTTTTTCATACTTAGAGGTTTATTCTCTTGGTTTCTTTCGGGTTTCTCGGGTATTACGGTCTTGGGCTAGTGCTAAGCACTATAAGTGATTTCTTTACAATAAGTAAACAGCTTATACACGATTTGATTGAAATGAGATCTTGGTCTCGAGCTCTTAGAGATAAGATTGTTAACAGAGATGGTTCAGTTCTCAATGTTCTAGATATCCTTAAGCATCTCAAAAGAAATTTGCAATCCGTATGTTCACTGGCATGTATTACTTCTTATGAATTATTATTTGTGATGTTAGAACCGTGGGAGATGGACCAAATGATGTTCAATATCTAAATAAATCTCTTAACAACTCTCTAATGTTCGTCGACTCCGTTCATTTTTTCAGTGACATGTTTCTTTTCAATTATACTGACGAAAATGAAAATTCTTGATGAAGGGTTTTAAAATGGGAGTGTGTTATTTGCGAACGGCTAAATTCACCGTTGATACTGTTGATACTTGCGAAAGGTAGAAAGTTCTCTCTCTCTCTCTCTCTCTCTCTCTCTCTCTCTCTCTCTCTCTCTCTCTCTCTCTCTCTCTCTCTCTCTCTCTCTCTCTCTCTCTCTCTCTCTCTCTCTCTCTCTCTCTCTTGCAGGCTATTGTACACGGTTATTTTAGTGATCAAACGCATACATTTCGATGATCAAAATGTTTTGGGAATTTTGGAGAACGACGAGACAGTGGAAGAGGGTTACTTGGATTATAAGCTAAAAAAGTTGGTTGCGACCGTCTCCCGGAGGAAGTTCATAACATTAAGTTAAGCGGCACATCTAGAAATGTAAGTGTATGGCTATGATTGTTTTCGAGCTGCGGTCGCGTTCACTGAATCGATATTTTTTTTACTTAGAATACCCTAAAAACAGATACTTTCCTGCTCTTGTATATTTCAAGATTCTCACCTCTCTTCTTCATACTAATTCTTCAGTATATCTATTTTCTAAGTCTGTGTTGTTGGAACTATAATCAGGGCCGTACTTAGGAATTTTGGGGGCGAAATATTAGATGAGGCATAAATGATATAACTCATAATAGATTTTATCTCATTCTTCTTACCTTTTGATCTGCAAAATTACTAATTAAAGTTTTATATTCAATATTTTCTATTTTATCTCATTCTTCTTACCTTTTGATCTGCAAAATTACTAATTAAAGTTTTATATTCAATATTTTCTAACATATTATTTTCGATAGATAATATTGCTAAACCATTCAATTTATCTTGTAACATGATCGATTTTAAATAAGATTTTAGTAATTTAAATTTTGAAAAACTTCTTTCAGCGGAAGCAACTGTTACGGGTATAGTCAATAGTACACGATAAAAGCAACTGTTACGGGTATAGTCAATAGTACACGATAAGCAATACAAGTATTTGGAAAAGAATCTAACCACTTTATATAGTTCAACACTTCAATTGG